CAAGATGACCACTCTTTGTGGCCATACACAATACTCTGAGTCAATGAACTTAACGAGAAACAATTTCCAAACTATAAGGGCTGCTACAAAAGTCTAAAAAGCTATATGTTTCATTTCAAAGATTCTACATCATCACTTTCTCCCACCAATTAGTGTTTTAAAATTAATTTCCCTCTGCAAAAAACATGTGTGGATTCCACAAACCCATGGGTTACCTTCCTCATTTGCAAATGCTCAATGTGTTGCGGATTCCCCATGCCCGCCCCTCTCGATCCCCCAAGAAGGAGCGCATTCCTCCAGAAGTGATCCATTATTTTATATTTCTTAAAAAATGCTCCACGCAACCTCCCACAACATCCATTTGGCTAATGGAATGGAAAAACAAGGGCAGCCTTGGCTTTCAAGGTATCCTATATCATGAGCCACATACCAAGCAAGTTGCAGGATAGCTTATACACGATCTTGGCTTTATTTACGTCAAGATAAAATAAAGTGGTCAATCAAAGCAAAATGTGCTTTTAATTCTTTTCATTAGAAGAACTGGCATGTCTTTATAAGAGCAGTGATTAATTTTTCCCATTTTTTCCATAATTAGGAAGGACAAAGGAGGAGGTAAGATAGGGTGGAACCCTTTTGGACCGCAATTCCCCCCCCCCCCCCCCCCCCCCAAAGCATCCAAAAGTCATTAAATGGCTGTGTGTGTGTGTTTTTTTAACAACTGGGGAGACACAATTCCCAATTATAATGTGTCTGCGACTTGAAGAAGCAGCAATGGCTTTGTTGCTGTGTTTTTCTTGGCTGGCTTCGGGAAAGGCTTTGTTCACTCTGGCTAATTTCCCGACAAGAGCGGCTGTTGGAGAAAAGCACAGCGCATCACGGAAAGAGGAGACTACAATTGGACTTGGACTTGTTTTTTTTTTTTAAGTGACACATTCATGTTAACATCATTTACAGTCAGGGTGAGCACGTGTATTCATAATCTATTACTAGCAGGGTTTTTTAAAAAAGAAGATAAAATGGACCAAACTCCCGCAAAACGAACTTTTAAAATATCTTTTGAAATAACAAATGTCTTGTTCGTGTCAGAACATCATACACGATTAACACTCCAGATGCCAATAAAGGCTATGGTACTGCCCTCCAAAATGAGATACACAGAAATGCTGGACTGCTCTAACAACTGCCATGTCAGACTACACAGAGAAGCCATTGAAATCCACAAGCAAAATTCAATAATTTTTATACATTATTGAAAAATGTATAAAAATACAAGCAAGCCACCCCTCCCTGATCCTGGACAATTTCAACAGAAAGGAAAAAACCATGAAAATGAACAAAATTTGGCTACCAGTGAAGTCGAACATGATCCCCCCCCCACCATAAAAGATAGTAACTTATAGTTTTGCTAAGGACAAGGACACCAGACTGGATAATAAGGGTTAAGCCTTGGTCAATTTGCCAAGACACTAACAACAAGGATCCTTCCCATGTTAGATAGTGTGTACATTTAATCAAGGTTTTATGCCCTAGGTTTCATATATAGCAGAAGGTAGCACATTTATTACTGAGAAACCACCTCCCTTTACACTTATGTGCTCTCTTGAACTTCTGTGGGACTCTGGTGTGAGGGATAAGTGGGTATGTTTTCTATAACATGATTTCTATATCATGTTATAACACCAGAGGCACTCCAAGTGGCCAGCTACTGGTCAAAGGACATTTAATCAACTACCAAGCTTGCAAATTCTGTGTTTTGTCTGTCTGTTTGTTTATTTTTGTTAAAAATGTAATACAAATGTCTGGTTGCTGATTACACGATAAATAAATAAATTTCTATATTTCTATATTCCTCCCTGTGTATCTGATCTTTTCCTGACCCTTTTGCCCAATTCCCCTTTATTGAAAAATGTATAAAAATAGAAGGAAGCCACCCCTCCCTGATCTTGGAAAGGAGGAAATCTTCAGTTGAAAAGACCCTTATCAAAAGACATTATTTGCATGGACAATAACAAAGGATCGTAACCTCTGGCCTCGGAGTTGGCCCCCCAGAGGAAGCGGTCACTTGGCATTTATGACCATATCTCAATAGGACAAAGGAAGCCTTCGGAAAGCCACACTTTGTCCTAATCTGTTACTGATTCAACTTTTCATCCACTGAACCACTGCCCAGATTCCCTCATTGTTTCTATATCTCAGCACTGGAAAAATCCGGATATTGGCAGGCTTGCCAGACATCAACGTTTATTGCATTCAATCAAAGACAATAGGAATGGCTGGCTTGCAGGCCCCAGGACTCGCTGGCCGCTTGGACATTTTCTACTTCCATAATCCTCTCAAGAATCCATTGTTTCCCTCTCTCCTGATTCATCAGGATGCTGAGGCGGCAGAAGCCCAGCGATTGGCCCAGGCGCTCAGGAGGAGGCCAAGCCTCCTCCCAGCTGTAGAGCACCAGCCAATCATCGTCAAGCGGCAGAGGGGCGGAGAATGGGAGATTCAAACCTGGCAGCTCTATTTTATGTATAAAAAGGCCTTTATTTTTGTACACTGTATGCTTAGCTTGGTGAAATATTGCTGCTCTGCATCCTTTTCAGCTGAATAGCAATAAAATCATCTCGGTGGTGCTTCCTTCAACTTTGGTGAGATTTCTTTTTGGAACTTAGGAAAAACCTTTTAATTTGGGCTTCTCCGTGCTCCCCATTGTAGCGAGCCCTCTTTGGTGGGTCCACAGGGTCTCTCCTACAAGGCCAGACCCTTTTAAATTCCTCTATGATTTCACCAGGATAAAAAATCCCTAAAATCACAACAGTAAATAAAGAACAACACTCAAAAACAGGGGAATTCCAGACAAGAAACAATCAGGGACAACTAATCACCCCTCAACAACGGATTCCCCCTGGCAGTAAGAAGTCAGACCTTGAAACTACCAGGCCATTAAATGCTACTCAAGGTGGCCAGTTGCAACTTTCACACCTACCTCTAACAGACAAGAGTTCTTTCTCCCACCCTGGACATTCAGATATATAAACTCCATTTTCCCAGTTTCTAATGGACCTTACAACCTCTGAGGATGCCTGTCATAGATGCAGGTGAAACATCAGGAGAGAATGCTTCTGGAACATGGCCATATAGCCCAAAAAACTTACAACAACCCTAGCGATTCCAGCCATGAAAACCTTCGACAATATGGTTTACAGACAGTTAGTCCCACACTCTATTCTACTCTGTTTCAGGTTGTTCTCTGCTGCTTCAGAGGATGGACTAGGACTAATAATTTCCAATTACAGAAAATTCCTACTGGCTGTTAGGAATTGTAGGAGTTAAAGTCCAAAACACCTGGAGGGATGAAGTTTGCCCATGCCTGGCTTGGACCTAAAACTTACAGAATCCAACGGCTGGGACAGCCTGTTGGCTGTAGGATTCTAGAGTTAAGATCCCAAACAACACATACCCCAAGCTGTTTGGTATAAACATAATTATCGACCCCTCACCTCTAGGCAAATGACGGACCCTTGGTGCTCTTTGAACACTCTCAGCTGCTCGCCAGTCACGATGTTCCACGTCCGAACGGTGTAGTCAGTGCTGCCGGAAAAGAGCTCCCGGTTTGGAGCATCAAGTATCAGGCACAAGACGGCCCCAGTGTGTCCCAGTAGGGTCTGGTGGCAGCGCCCACTGGACACCCACCAGACTTTCACAGTGCAGTCCGTGCTCCCCGTCACAAGGAAGTCCTTGCTCAGCGTCTCCTCCTCCAGTTCTTCCTCTTCTGAGTCTTCAAGAACATCTTTGGAGGAGTAAAGAGCCAACGTCAGGACGCAGTTCCGGTGGCCCCGAAATTCCTGGATGGGCTTCTCCTTCTCTACGCTCCAGCAACGCGCCGTCCTGTCATAAGAGCCGCTGAACAGGTAGTCTTTGGAAACCAGGATCCTGTTTGAATTAAAAAGAAACCCACATATTTATTTATTATTTATTTATATACGACACTAGCCATCCCTTGCCACACGCTGCTTTGGCCCAGTCTGTGTATATGTGATTTGTGTGTGTATATGTGTGTGTATATATTTGTGTATATGTGGTTTTGCACATGCGTTTTATTGTATTGTTTGTTTTTTGGCTTTTTAAGTCTCTTCTGCTGTGTTTTTCAGTGTTTTTATGAGTGATGGTCACTTGTTGGCCTGAGAGGTGTATTGTGTCTAAATTTAGTGTCAATTCATCCAGTGGTTTTTGAGTTATGTTAATCCCACAAACGAACATTACATTTTTATTTATATAGATTTATATCCCGCCCTTCTCACCTCAAAGGGGACTCAGAGAGCCTTACAAGTTATATGTACATACAATATATTATGTTATTAGCATAGTACAATATTAGTATTATATATTACTATATTGTACTATGCCACTATACTGTAATATTAATAGTTCCGTCCTCTGCTGCTTAGCGTTAGGGTTGGGGTTGAGGTTAGAGTTAGTATTTAAGATTTAGGATAAGGGTTAGGGTTGGGATTAGGATTTAGGGTAAGGGTTAGGGTTGGGGTTAGAGATAGAGTTTAGGGTAAAGGTTAGGGTTGGGGTTAGAGTTAGTGTTCAGGGTTTAGGGTAAGGGTTGGGGTTAGGGTTTAGGGTTGGGGTTAGAGTTAGGGTTTAGGGTAAAGGTTAGGGTTGGGGTTGGAGTTAGTGTTTAGTGTTTAGGGTAAGGGTTGGGGTTAGGGTTTAGGGTTTAGGTTGGGTTAGGGTTGGCGTTAGGGTTTAGGGTAAGGGTTAGGGTTTCGGGTTATAGTTAGGGTAAGGGTTAGGGTTTCGGGTTATAGTTAGGGTTTAGGGTTCAGGGTAATGGTAAGGGTTGGGGTTGGAGTTAGAGTTAGAGTTTAGGGTTGGGGTTAGAGTTAGGGTTTAGGGTTCAGGGTAATGGTAAGGGTTGGGGTTAGAGTTAGAGTTTAGGGTTGGGGTTAGAGTTAGTATTTAAGGTTTAGGATTAGGGTTAGGGTAAGGGTTAGGGTTGGGGTTAGAGTTTGGGGTAAAGGTTAGGGTCGGGCTTAGAGTTAGTGTTTAGCGTTTAGGGTAAGGGTTGAAGTTACAGTTAGAGTTTAGGGTTGGTGTTAGGGTTTAGGGTTTAGGGTAAGGTTTAGGGTTATAGTTAGGGTTAGGGTTTTAGGGTAAGGGTTAGGGTTGGGGATAGAGTTAGTATTTAAGGTTTAGGATAAGGGTTAGGGTTGGGGTTAGAGTTAGGGTTTAGTGTTTGGGGTAAAGGTTAGGGCTGGGCTTAGTGTTTAGGGTTTAGGGTAAAGGTTGAGGTTACAGTTAGAGTTTAGGGTTGGGGTTAGAGTTAGGATTTAGGGTAAAGGTTAGGGTTGGTGTTAGGGTTTAGGGTAAGGGCTAGGGTTTAGAGTTAGGGTTTAGCGTTCAGGGTAAGGGTAGGGTTTAGGGTTAGGGTTTAGGGTTAGTGTTTTACCATAAAAGGAGTCTTACATTCCTTCTATATTATCTGTTTCCAGTCTGGCCTACATTACCTCAGTCGCTCACTCCACCCCCTGTCTCGGTCACGTGTTCTGTTCTGCATTGCACAAACAGTGTTGCCAAAGGAGCGAAGCAGAAACAGCATAACACTTGGAACTTCTGGACCCAGTTATCATACTATTACCGGGTTGACTTCTAACAAGGTCATGCTTTTCTGGACTAGTGGTTTTCAAAAGATGGTCTCCACATGTTCATGGAGTTTCACATTTGCCAAACAGATGTGACATCATTTTTACCTTTCCAATAAGGTTATGGTGCAGTTATTTCCAATACATTATGGGGGGGGGGGGGGGATCAGGCCTGCCCTGAAGTCTGAACCCTGCACCTAGATATATATAGATAGATATTTGCAAATGCTTTGTGTCATAATCACATGGAGAATGATCAAAGAACATCTAGAAGACGTAAAGACATGCTTTATCACGGCATTCCAATTCCAATTGTGATAGCCAATTGCTGCCGATAAATTAGCTTTAAGAGGAATTTACGAGCGACTATAATGTGGCAGTGGTCATCTATATCTATATGGCAGGAGATGCCAAGAAAATATCACTTATTCCTCTGTCATAAAGTGTGCATTTAATACAAAAAGGTTTGGCTTTAAGCGTCTCTGGAGTCAATCAACAACAAGGCAGAATCCCAACTCTACACAAAGCCTTAACAGAATCCTTTTACGACCAAGAAATATTCCTAACACAGTGCTTTTTAAATCTCTTTATCACGTGCATCTGTTACCCATTGAGCTGTGCTAACACACACACACAGCGACACCCCCCTGGAATTTCCTTCCCAGCCATGGATTTGCTTCAGTTCCTCCTTGCTTCCCTGCTGGTCTCTTGTCCCCAAAATACGGCTGCGTCAGCTTTGCTCCTAAGATAACTAACTAATCCTGGAGCCAACTCATAACACACATTTATGACAATTCCTCTGAGCAGCACAAACACAGGAGGAGACCTGTTAGGAGCAACAAAGAAAAATAAATACGTAGTAGAGAAGTTTGGGAAGAAATCAGACTGGGATCCGTCTACAGACCACTGAGTGCAACACCTACCTGTTCACAATGGAGGTGTGTCCTCTGTAAACAGCCAAGCATTGGCCGGTCATCACATCCCACTTTCTGATCGTATGATCGGCACTACAAGTGAAGGCGACTTCATTTTCTAAATGACAAGCGGTGATATAGCTTTCATGCCCTAGGAATAACAGAAGAGAACTAGAAAAGATCAGCATGAATACAGAATTATGAACAGAAAGAGGTTAGGTTTTCCCCTGACATTAAGTGTAGTCGTGTCCGACTCTGGGGGTTGGTGCTCATCTCCATTTCTAATCCTAAGAGCCCGCGTTGTCCATAGACACCTCCAAGGTCATGTGGCCAGCATGACTGCATGGAGGGCCGTTACCTTCCCACCAGGGTGGTACCTATTGATCTACTCACATTTGCATGATTTCAAACTGCTAAGTTGGCAGAAACTGGGACTAACAACAGGAGCTCACACCACTCCACGAATTCGAACCTGCGACCTTTCGGTAAGCAAGTTTAACAGCTCAGCTGAGCCCCCAGCACCACTGGGGGCTCCTTATGAACGGAAAGAACACATACACAAAAAAGGTTAAGCTGGAACTATGTTGTTGCCACACACACACACACACTTACACACACACACACACACGGTGTACTTTTTTGGCCATTCATTCTCTGGCTCTATTTATTTATTTATTTACCCTATTTATACCCCGCCGTTCTCAACCCCGAAGGGGACTCAAGATGGTTTACATATTGGCAATTATTCAATGCCTTCAAGTGACAAACAATTCTAATGACAATTACATTAAAATTAATATTAAAAATTAAAATTAATACATATTAAACATTTTACACCAACCACAATCGTAGTCCAGGACTGTTCCAATAGTCATTGCACATATTCCATATCTAGTTATTGCAATGCAGCTATTCTCCGAAGGCTTAACCCAAAGCAACAATTTCACTTTCCTTCTGGAGGCCAGGAGGGAAGGGGCTGATCTAATGTCACTGGAGAAGGAGTTCCACAGCCGAGAAGCCACCACTGAGAAGGCCCTGTCTCTCGTCCCCACCAATCATGCCTGCAAAGAAGTTAGGCCGAGAGCAGGGCCTCCCCAGACGATCTTAAGCTGCAAGGTGGACTATAGGGGGAGACATATTATCTGGAGTACAGCCACTGGATTAGCTGCATTTGCCCAAGTGTTTACACAGCATTCAACAATTGATTTAATGGATTGGAACCCATTGCAACACTGCATTTCAAAGCTCAAACACTAATAATATAATTCAATGCATCCCAATGAATACAATTACTCAATGGCTTCTCTGTGTAGACACGCATCAAGGAACATGAAAGGCACTGCAAACTACTCCAACCAGAGAAATCAGCCATAGCAGAGCACCTGATGAACCAACCTGGGCACAGCATATTATTTGAGAACACAGAAGTGCTGGACCACTCTCACAACCACCATGTCAGACTACACAGAGAAGCCATTGAAATCCACAAGCATGTGGACAATTTCAACAGAAAGGAAGAAACCATGAAAATGAACAAAATCTGGCTACCAGTATTAAAAAACTCAAAAATACAACAGCAAAACTACAGAGGGGAAACAAACAGGCACATAAAATCACTCTCAGCAAAAGATTCCCCCTAGGCACTTCCAAGCCATTGAATGCTAATCAAGGTGATCAGCTGAAACATTCACACCTAGCCCCAGTGATTATATGTCCATTGTCTCACCCTGGTCATTCCACAGATATATAAACCCATTTTTCCTACTTCCAACAGACCTCACTACCTCTGAGGATGCTTGCCATAGATGCAGGCGAAACGTCAGGAGAAAAATTGCCTCCAGAACATGGCCATAAATTATTATTTCTTTATAAAGCCCAATAATTTGCAACTTCATTGTTCTGTTCTCTGTAGCGCAGTTCTAGGGTCTTAAATCAATTTGAGGCCAAATCTGTTGGAATGGTACTTAAAAGCATTATGTCTCATTCGGAGTATGAAAACAATCTGAGTCAGCAATCAAAACGTTTGCATCTAGCCAATGGGGTGTGTGTGTGTGTGTGTATTTATCCAGCTGCAGAAAAAGAAAGCATCAAGTTGAATAGTCCCTCAAATGGACTGAGATATCAAGAAAAGTCCAGGAAAGCTTTTAAAACGGCATGTTGGGTAAAAAGAACGAAAAGCACGCGGAAGAGGTCTTGCAGTATATGGGACTAAGGCCCCTTCTACACTGTCCTTATATCCCAGAATCTGATCCCAGGTTACTGCTTTGAACTGGATTATCTGAGGCCCCTTCCACACAGCTGAATAAAATCCCACCTTTTCTGCTTTGAACTGGGATATATGGCAGTGTGGACTCAGATAACTCAGTTCAAAGCAGATATTGTGGGATTTTCTGCTTTGACATTCTGAGTTATATGGCTCTGCGGAAGGGCCCTGAGACTCTACTGCCATATAATCTGGGATAAGAAGATAATCTGGGATCAGATCCTGGAACAGAAGTGGTGTATTTCATGGGCTGAAGTTCATGCCATCAAACTCACCCAAATATACAAGAAAAACAAGAAAAGAGCTGCTGACTATTGCAAACAAAAGGTAAAAAAAGAAAAGGCACAATTTGCTCAAAACTGGAACCAAAGCATTGAGAACAATTAATTAAATTCCATTTTTAAAAATATCAGAACGTATGAATAACTTTTCTCAATGAAGCAGAATGGTATCGTGGTTTCAGCATTGGATGATGACCCTGGAGAACAAGGTTGAAAGTGAACTTGGCCAAGTCACACTCTCTCAGATTCTGAAAATTACGAAAGGCAAACTTCTGAACAAGTCTTGCCAAGAAAACACTGTAATAGGTGTCGGAGCATGTAAAACTTACTTAGTGAGTGTGTTAACTGAAAAATGCAAAGCATAAAGCTGATTGGTTGGGACACACCCGAGAGGCTAGCTGAGCCTGGGAGTTTTGGCAACAGTTACATGTTTAGGTTTCCTGTGCAGGAGCTTTAACAAGAAAGTTGGTATATTCTGCTTCTGGGCTGCTAGAAGAAGATCCTTCACATGGACACCTAAGGACCATTTGAATCTCTCTCAAAGGACATTGTGCTGGCACGGCTGTGCCAGGAAATTTGATTCTTTTTCTTGCACTGTTAGTTTGCATGAATCTATTTGGGCCATGCATTTTGCAATAGGGTAGCTTTCCCCTGGTTGCAGTCATAGGGCCGACAACCTATCAATCATCATTAGAGCCTTTAGATCTGCCTCTTTCCCAGGTTTGGAGGGAAAAGGGGACTTTAGTTCAGTCTCACAGTTTGGAGCCTTACAGCATGACGTGTGGGCTTTTCTCTGTCCCACCTGCAAAAAGCTTCACCTCTACAGCTTTGCTGGGGTTAAAGAAACAGATCTACAGCCAGCTTTTGCTGGGGGAAAAGGAAAACCTCTACAGCTTTGCTGGGGAGTAAAGTTCCAGTTCCACAGCCTTTGCTGGGGGAATACAGCCAGCTTTGCTGGAAAATAAAGGAATGATTCCACAGTCTTCGTGGGGCAAATCTACAGGACACCAGCTTGGCAGATCTACAGCAACCATTGCAAGGTAAGGGACCACTCGAGCTATCCATAACGCAGCTTGGAGCCGGGAGTTGGGGCCTCACGCCAACAGGGTAAAGAAAGATTGCCCAAGGAAGGGTCAGAAGGTTTCCCTAAAGAAGAACAGTTTATCAAGCAGTTGCCTGTTCCTTGGTGGCAGATCGAGAAAGCTTTCTAAGATTATAAAGCATTTAATTCATTTGTTTGAAGATCTATGCCTTAATAAAGAACTTTGTTGAACTTATTTTGAGCCTCTACAGAACTTTGTGTTGGGAAACCTATGGGACCCTTTAGCTGAGGCACCCTGGCGTCCCATTGGGCATACAGAAAGCACGTCCTGTAAACAGACATTGTCATAGGCCCAGCGTGCGACAGCACAGGCATAGTGTGAGTCAATGCAACTGTTCACATGACTGTATATAGGTTGCTCTGAATAACAAAAATACCTTATTCTTTACTTATCTGTGTGGCATACATTTTCTCTAGCAAGACAAGTGTGGATTGGTAAAGACCTGAACTATGTGTGATTTTTCATTCTGCCACAATAGGGTCACCATAAGTTGGAAATGGCTTGGATGAACACAACTATCATAGCAATATAAGTTCAATACCATTTGACCAGAGTTTGGAATGACCTGTATCCCAGAGTCAGGTTTGTTGCAAAGTGTATATTGCCCATACCTTGAAAATGGGCCCGGCATTGGCTATCGGCTGTGCTCCAAAGCCTCGCTGTGCCATCTTCACTGCCCGTCAGGAGCCACTGCCCATCTGGACTGAGGCTGAGCCAGTTGATGCCGCCTTGGTGCTCAGTGCAAACTTTCAGGGCTGAACTGCTGCTCCCCATTCTGCAGGTCCCAACATGAGGCAAATGCTGCGGATACGGAGGCTCATGCGCTCCAAGCCTCACAAGGCATGGGAACAGAGCTTGCAAGTCTGGGCTGCATCAAGTCATTCAGCTGTCATCTTTGATGCAGACAGGGTGGGTTGTCTCTACAAAAACAGGAAAGAGGGTCATCAAGGGCATAGTCAGATCTCTGTTTCCACAGGTTCAGACAATTATGGTTCAGAAATATTAGGAAAAAGAAAACTATGGTAATGAACAATCTGATACAAACCAGGCATGGGCAAACTTGGGCCCTCCAGATGTTTTGGACTTCAACTCCCACAATTCCTAACAGCTGTTAGGAATTGTGGGAGTCGAAGTCCAAAACACCTGGAGGGCCCAAGTTTGCCCAAGTTTGCCATAGACATACCTTGCTGTAGGTTCCCAACATTTCACAGATCTCCAGACTCTCCTCAGCACACTTTTGAGTTTTCCCCCATTTTATATAATGCATGGCATTTTACAACACTATTGGATATAATAGGATTTTAGCACCCACTTATTTTTGTTTTCAACAAGGGTCCTCATACCAAACCCTAGCCGATACTGCTGTATTACAGTGTCCACCTGATCCATCACTAAGCTTTTCAAAAACCTGTCACTTCTTACAAGGACATCATATGAAATGTTATGATATAACAATACAAGAGATTGACCTTCAAAGACAACCAAAGTGTCATTCGCTAAGTTGAATGTACTAAAAGACACGAAGCTGACCTTCAGTAGCCTCCCACCATTTCAGAGATCCTCAGGCTTTCTCATTTGAGTTGTTCACCATTTTATATAAGGAACACAATGTTACACTGTATACAATGGGACTTGAGCATCTATGGGTATTGTTATCCACATGGGGTCCTTGAACCAAACCTCAGTGGATAGTGAGGACCCATTGCATTACATTATCCATGAAGGCTATCAAAACATGTAGCTTCTTACAAGCCTGCAGAAGAGAAGGCTGAGAAGAAAAATGATGAGGGCTATGTATAAATATGTGAGGGGAAGTCAGAGGGAGCAAGCTTGCTGTCTGCTGCCCTGGAGACTAGGACATGTCATTTGGGAGTTGTAGTTGCTGTGATTTATAGTTCACCTACAGTCAAAGAGCACTGTGGATGCAAACAATGATGGATCTGGACCAAACTTGACATGTATACTCAATATGCCCAAATGTGAACAGTGGTGGAGTTTGGGGAAAATAGACCTTGAAATTTGGGAGTTGTAATTGTTGGGATTTATAGTTCACCTACAATCAGGGCACTCTGAACTCCACTAATGATGGAATTGAATTAAACTTGGCACACAGAACTCCCAAGACCAACAGAAAATACTGGAAGGGTTTGGTGGGCATTGTCCTTGAGTTTTGGAGTTGTAGTTCACCTACATCCAGGGAGCACTGTGGACTCAAACAATGATATATCTGGACATAACTTGGCACGGATAGTCAATATGACCAAATGTGAACACTGGTGGAATTTGGGGGAAATAGACCTTGACATTTGGGAGTTGTACTTGCTGGGATTTATAGTTCGCCTACAATCAAAGAGCATTCTGAACCGCACTGACAATAGAATTGGGCCAAGCTTGGCACACAGAACCCTCATGACCAACAGAAAATACTGTGTTTTCTAATGGTCTTTGGTGACCCCTATGACACCCCCTCACGACCCCCCCCCCAGGGGTCCCGAATCCCAGGTTGAGAAACGCTGACTTAAGGTAAAGCAAACTATTTCCGCTCTTGCCCATGTATGCCCAATGAAGAACAGGCACTCTGAACAGTTGTGGCAAATAAAATTGGATTATGTGACCAGAATAGAAATTGAAAATGTTATGCATATCTGCAGTCCATGTCTGCTTCATAAAAGAACAGGGGGACATCCAGGTTTTGCGCACATTTGTAATTCCTGGGCTAAGTCTATCATAAGAGCAGTTGAAGAAAGGTCAAAGATACTGCAAATATGTGAGCTATGAAAGGACAGCGATGGTTGATGCTAGGAAATGCCACTGTGGAAGCACACAGGCAACAGCAGACTGCGTTACATGGCAGTGCAGATGTGCTTTACTTCTTCTTTCTGGTTGGAGGAAAGCAGACCCCCCTCGGCCCCCTTCAGACAATAGAGGCCCAGCCCCCCCCCCCCCCCCCGCTTCCTTTCCGACAGGAACCAGGGGAGACAAATGTAGCTCCCCTTTTGTTGCTTTGCTCCTTGTAACAATAAACTTGGACATGGACTTCCCTGGGGGGTCCTCAGTCTCCCCGCCGCCGCTCCCCCAGCTGAACTTGCAAAAGTTACTTTTATAGCCCCCAAAATGGTCAATTGGGGGAGGAGAGGGATTACAGCTGCTGAGGACCCTCCGAAGAGTTTTACAAACTATTCTTCTTTCTTCTCTCTCTCTTTTCATATTTTCCCCTTTCTTTTCTCCTTTATCTCTCATCTTTCTTTTCTTCCTTTCTTTCTCTCTCTTCTTTCCTTTCGTTATCTCCCTTTCTATTCCTGATTCCCGCTTCCTCTCTCTTCCCCTTTCTATCTTTTCCTTCCTTCTTTCCTTTCTCTTCCTCTCTTGTTTTCATTTCTTTCTTTCCCTCTCTCTCTCTCTTCCTCCTTTCCCTCCTTCCTTTTTTTCTCTCCTTTCCTTCCTCTCCTTCTTTCACTTCCCCTTTCTCTCTTTCCTTCCTTCTTTTCTTTCTCTTTACTCTCTTTTCTTTCTTTTCCTTCCTTCCTTTCTCCTTCCTCCTTCCTTCCTTCCTTCCTTCCTTCCTTCCTTCCTCTCCCTCTCTATTCGTCCTTCCTTTCTTTCCTTTTCCTTTTCCTCCCTTTCATTCCTTCTTTCCTTTCTCTTCCTCTCTTGTTTTCTTTCTCTCTGTCTTCCTTCTCTCCTTCCTTCCTTACTCTCCCTCTCTATTCATACTTCCTTCCTTTTGCTTCCCTTTTCTCTATTTTCCTTCCTTCTTTCTTTTCTCTTCCTATCTTGTTTTCTTTTCTTTCTTTCTGTCTTCCTTCCTTCCTCACCCTTTCTATCTGTCCTTCCTCCCCTTCCTTTTCTCTCTTCCTTCCTTCTTCCTTTCTCTTCCTTTCTTGTTTTCTTTTATTACTCCCCCTCTTTCTCTTCCTTCTTTATCTCCTTCCTTCCTTCCTCTCCCTCTCTATCCTTCCTTCCTTTCTTTTTCTTTTCTTCCTTCCTTCCTTCCTTCCTTCCTTCCTTCCTTCCTTCCTTCCTTCCTTCCTTTCTTTCTTTCTCTCCTTCTTTCCTTCTTCTTCATCTGTATCCCTCTTCCTTCCTTCCTTTCTCTTCCTTTCTCCCTCTTTCCTTCCTTCCTTCCTTCCTTCCTTCCTTCCTTCCTTCCTTTTCCTTCCTTCCTTCCTTCCTTCCTTCCTTCCTTCCTTCCTATCTCACCTTCCTTCCTTCTTTTCTCTCTCCTCTCTCTCTCTCTCGTTGAATCTACACTGCCATGTAGTCCAGTTTCAGAATGCATATTAATCTGCATTCTGAAACTGGATAATACGGCAGTGTAGATACAGCCTCTCTCTCTGGGTGCATCTATATTGTAGAATGAATGCCATTTGACCCCACTAACACCCACAACTCAGTGTCATGGAATCTTGGAAGTTATAGTTTGGTGAGTCACCACCACTTTTTGGGAGTGAAGGTGAAAGCCCTTGTAAAACTACAACTTCCTTGATTCCATAGCCTTGAGTCATGGCAGTTCAAGTGATGTCAAGCTTCATTCATTCAACAGTGTTGATGCTCTCTCTCTCTCTCTCTCTCTTTCTCTCTCTTACAACCACATTGACACCCTCCTGTGAGGAATGCGTGAATGTACAGGAATGAGTTACATCGAATACGTAATTTGTGACTTTGCAGAAATCATTACTTGCACATCTATTATTCAATATGAAATGTGTTTGCTTAGCCTTCAAATAATCACTATAGTTACTATATGATGAAAATGGGTGCCTTCATTTTTGGGGATCATCATGAACTAACACATAAACACCCAATTTATGCTGCTTCCACTGCATTCCAAGAAGCATTCAGTGATGGCACAACAATGCTCTTACCAAACTATCCAACGATGCCTTCTTTTAGAGTGGGCATGTGCAAACTTCAGCCCTCCAGATGTTTTGGATTTCAACTCCCACAATTAGAAATTGTGGGAGTTGAAGTCCAAAACACCTGGAGGGCCGAAGTTTGCCCATGCCTGTTTTAGAGTCTTTTTCTAACAATAAATAAGTGGGCCCCATGCTGTGCCATTGGCCATCCATATGCATGGATTCTGGATCCACTGATTTTGGATCCATGGAGTCCACCATCCATGGCTTGATTTTTTAAAATTATTATAAGCAAACCTTTATGGTGCCATTTTATATACAGGACACTATATTACTACGCCATTGTATACATATAATACAGTGGTTCCCAACCTATGGACCACCAGTGGTCCACAAGAACTAAAATGTGGTCCGTGGCCTCATCATTACTACACTGTTGCAACAAGAGCGACTGGGCTCGCAAAGCCTTCTTATACTGCCGAGGCTAATGAAATATGTTTTTCTGTGGGCAAGCATATGGTGACTACTGGATGGCATGTGTTCTGAATCAAAAACTAGAGCTCATGTGGTCTATCCAATGCAATTTTCTGAATCAGCACCCCAAATGACCAAAACAAATCTAAAGTTGACCAAAAATTGATTTGTAATCCTTTTGGGAATAATACTGGAGAGTGGTCCCTGATCAAAGTGTTCCCTGGTCAAGTGGTCCCTAGTCAAAGTGTTCCCTGGTCAAGTGGGCATTGATCAAGTGGTCTCTGGTCAAAGTGGTCCCTAGTCAAGTGGTCCCTGGTCAAAGAGGTCCCTGGTTAAAGAGGTCCCTGGTCAAAGCGGTCCCTGGTCAAAGAGGTCCCTAGTCAAAGTGTTCCCTGATCAAGTGGGCCTTGATCAAGTGGTCTCTGGTCAAAGTGGTCCCTGGTCAAAGTGTTCCCTAGTCAAAGTGTTCCCTGGTCAAGTGGACCAAGTGGTCTCTGGTCAAAGTGGTCACTAGTCAAATGGTTCCTGGTCAAAGAGGTCCCTGGTTAAAGAGGTCCCTGGTCAAAGAGGTCCCTGGTCAAAGAGGTCTCTAGTCAAAGTGTTCTCTAGTCAAAGTGTTCCRTGGTCAAGTGGGCCTTGATCAAGTGGTCTCTGGTCAAAGTGGTCTCTAGTCAAGTGGTCCCTGGTCAAAGAGGTCCCTAGTCAAAGTGGTCCCTGGTCAAAAGAGACTGGGAACCACAGATATAACAGGTCTTGTGTATCCACAAATTTTAGTATCCACTAGAGTACAGGAACAAAACCCCTAGTGGATATCAAGGCTCCATTGTATTCACGAGGACCCAAAGTCATGATACAAAGATATGAACTAGATGTGTGTTATGATCCCATAAGTCAATGTATAATGCAAACAAAACTTGCAAGAATGCAGTTATACAGCCCTTTATCTTGTTTGGCTCAATGCTACAGTGGACATGCACCCCATGTTTTCTTATTATAGCTAAATGAACAGAATCAAATTCTACCAATTAGGAGGAGAGAGAAATGTAAACTCATACTAATCAATGGAACAGGAGCCGGACATACAGATAGGTCCCTTGCACCATTTGGGTAAGTGCTTCTTTCCCTGCTGGGAATGAGCCAATATCCCCAAAGATTGTCTTTGAGTATAGAGATGTGGAGCAGGGAACTATAAATTATGGAGGAATTCAGGACATTTTGGGCACATCTCCACTGTAGAATCAATGCAGTTTGACACTTTTAACTGCTAGGGTTCAAGGCAATGGAATCATGGGGGTTGTAGCTTTACAAGGTCTCTGTGAAGAATCCCCAAAAATTGTCTTTGAGTATAAAGATGTGGAGCAGGGAACTATAAATCCTGGAAGAATTCAGGCCATTGTGGGCACATGTCCACAGTAGAGTCAATGAGGTTTGACACCACTTTAACTGCCTGAGGTCAATGCAATGGAATCATGGGTGCTATAGTTTTACAAGGTCTCTGTGAAGAATCCCCCAAAATTTTCTTTGAGTATAAAGATGTGGACCAGGTAACTATACATTCTGGAGGAATTCAGGCCATTCTGGGCACATCTCCACTGTAGAGTCAATGCAGTTTGACACCACTTTAACTGACTGAGGTCAATGCACTTAAATTGTGAGTGTTGCAGTTTTACAAGGTCTTTGTGAAGAAGTGCTAGTGCCTCATCAAACTACAACTCTCAGGATTCCATAGTATTGAATCATGGCAGTTAAAGTGGCGTGAAAGTGCATTAATTCTTCAGTATGGATGTATCCAAGGACTCCACACACACACACATCTTCCCATGTCTCTCAAGCAGGGAACAATTTCCATGTTTCCTCTTAAACAATCTCTCAGATTTCAAAACTGTAGAATACACAGGCACATCTGGGTTTCACTTACTTCATTTCGAACCCAAATCCCAAGGGATGATGATCTTCTATCCATCGCTCCCAACGTGTGATGGAGGCACATGTCCTTGGAGAGCAGCGCACGCCGCACACTCCTTCCACCTTTCAAAGGAGCCTCTGGAAAGTTTTGCCTCTTTAAAGCCAAACTTTGCTCCAAAACTCAGCACAAAAAAACAAAAGTGCAAGGCTTTGCCCTGTGGGCTCAAGGCCCTTCTTCACATTGTTGCAGGGAGCAAGAAAAGACAAGAAAACTCCTGAAGGATACAACCTTATGAGAGGAAACTGCAAAAAATCACTTCCAGGCAGAACTCATTTCCTTCCATGAGAAGAAGCAAGGAAAAGCAACAAGGGTCGAGAGAAGAGGGGGCATTCTCTGGTTAATTCATGCCTTTAGGTCTTCAGAAGTCAGAAATGTCCCCACTTTCTGGATCTTCACTTTCTCCAGCATGTCTTTTTTTCTGCATCCTTGGAAGAAGATGCTGAGGTTCCTCTGGAGCCTGAGCTGAGTACAATTCATTGTGCAAACAATTGCAGCATTTTGAAGAAAAGCTGGATGTTAAAAGGTCTTCCTGTTTGGAGAGCCTGGCTGCCTTTTGTCTCCTTTTCCTGCCCTCTTGCCTTGTTCTGTAAAGGAGAGCGCAAATCCCAGCCAGAACCCCAAACCTCTCCCCTTCTCCTCCTTACCCAGTTCTTCCCCCAAACTTTTATTTTCGCTGTTTCTTAGATCAATACAGTTGTGCAAAGCATAACTTCTTGGTCTGTTCAGGCTCTGCGGGGGATCAAATACCACTCCTCAGATTTCTCCACGGTCCTAAAGAAAGCGGAATTAAATAGCCAGAAGAAGAAGAAAAAACGGCTATGATTCAAACAGCTCAGCGAGAGATTCCTGGAAGTGCAAGAAAAGTTCATGGTTCAGTGACAACCCAAGTCTTTTTGGCTGGTTGAGATAAGCTTTCCACATACAAAAGCAAACCAGACTGGCGATTGAATGTTACTTCAACATGACTAATGGGTCCGTGTGTTTTGTTAAACTAAGCAGCTGAAAAAGTGGGATCTGAGAAGATAAATCAGGACTGTCCTCCTCAAATTGGGAAACTTGGAGGTCATGGTTGCATGTGCCTTCGAGACATTTCTGACTCTGTAGATCTAAAGTGAACCTGGTCATGCGTTTTCCTGGAAAGATTTACCCAAAGGGAGTTTGCCCTTGCTTTCCTCTGAGGCTAAGGCCACAACTGCACTAACCATTTAAAGCAGTTTTGAACTGGAATAAAAGAAAGTAGTTTCGCTGTGCAGATGATCTGATCTCTTTTTGCAATAGAGTTACAAGCTGGGTAGATGCAGGGAACGCCGTGGATGGAGTGTATTGGAATTCAGTAAGGCCTTCCTTCAACAAGGTCCCCCATGACCTTCTGGCAAACAAACTAGTCAAAAGTGGATTAGGCAAACTATGGTTAGGTGGATCTGCAATTGGTTAAGTGAATGAACCCAAAGGGTGATTCTCCCCAATGCTTCCTCTTCATCCTGGAAAGAAGTGATGAGTGGAGTGCCATCAGCAGGGCTCCATCCTGGGCCCAGTCCTGTTCAACACCTTTATTAATGACTTTTTAGAAGGCATGGTAATCAAGTTTGCAGACGGGACCAAATTGGAAGGAACAGCCAATACTCCAGAATACAGGAGCGGAATTCAAACTGATCTTCACAGATTGGAAAGATGATTGGCCAAAACTAACAAAATGAAGTTCAACATGGACAAATGCAAGATACTCCACTTAGGCAGAAAAAAATGAAATTCAAAGAGACAGAATGGGGAATGATGCCTGGCTCGAGAGAAATACGTATGCATAAGATCTTGAAGTCAGGATGGACAAGTTAAACATGAGACAACAATGCAATGCAGCCACTAAAAAAGCCAATAGCATTCTAGTGTCTAGATCCAGGTAAGTCATGCTACCCCTCTATTCTGTCTTGGTCAGATGATCACACCTGGAATCACATTGTGTCCAATTCCGGGCACGGCAATTGAAGGGAGATGTAGACTCTAAGCTGGAATGTGTCCAGAGAAGGGTGTCTCAAATGATTAAAGGTCTGGAGAGCAAGCCCTATGAGGAACGACTTAAAGAGTTGGGCATGTTTAGCCTGCAGAAGAGAAGGCTGAGGGGAGACATGATGAGAGCCATGGATAAATATGTGAGGGGAGGTCATAGAGAGGAGGAAGCAACTTGTTTTCTGCTGCCCTGGAGACTAGGGCACGATGGAACAATGGCTTCAAACTACAGGAAAGGAGATTCCACCTAAACATTAGGAAGAACTTCCTAACTGTGAGGTGATGGAACTCTCTGACCCAGAGTGTGGTAGAGGCTCCTTCTTTAGAGGCTTTGAAACAGAGGCTGGATGGCCATCTGTCAGGGATGCCTTGAATGCAATTTTCCTGCTTCTTGGCAGAATGGGGTTGGACTGGGTGGCCCACCAGATCTCTTCCAACTCTATGATTCTATGATTCCATAATAAATCCTCAAAGTAGTTTGATGACACAAATCACAAAGCACTAAGGCACACCAAGGGCTTTCTTTCATGCACTTTTGTGGGAGTTTGTTTTCTGGCGATTATACTTTGAAGCTAGCTTTGAATTGCATTAAATGGTCAATGTAGATTGGACCTGTTCTGTGGTTTTATGGCAATGGAGGAATTGGGGATGTTTTTCACCTCCCCTTGCCGCAATGTGCTTGTGCAGAGTACCTCTTCCTTAACCGGTTTCCACATGCAACGGGGTTTATACTTTGGTGAACTGATGTGCATTAAAGGCACTGTTCTGGAGTATCCCCTGATGTTGCTTTGCTCAGTTTAATGTGTGTTGCGAAACACATTTGCTGTGTTTGATACATTCTCAGACTTAGCATGGATACACGAAGCTGTAGATAATAGAGAAACCTATTGTTTTCAATGGAGCCAATAATAGAAACCAAGAAAAAGATGCAGGTTTTGTCAGAAGTGAAGAAAAGACTTGCCTACAGAGCAGTGTTTCTCAACCTTCCTAATGCCATGACCCCCCCCCCCCTTAATATAGTTCTTCATGTTGTGGTGACCCCCAACCATAAAATTATTTTCATTGCTACTTCACAACTGTATTTTTGCTATTGTTATGAATCGTAATGTAAATATCTGATATGCAGGGTGTATTTGATACAAATATGTAATATGCCCAAATTTTAATACTGGTGGGGTTGGGGAGGGGGGGATAATTGATTTTGTCATTTGAGAGTTGTAGTTTCTGGGATTTATAGTTAACCTACAATGAAAGAGCATACTGAATTCCACTAACGATGGAATTGAACCAAATTTGGCACACAGAACTCCCATGACCAACAGAAAATACTGGAAGGGTTTGGTGGGCATTGACCTTGAGTTTTGGAGTTGTAGTTCACCTACAACCAGAGAACACTGTGATGGACTCAAACAATGATAGATCTGAACCAAACTTGGCACTAATACTCAATATGCCCAAATGTGAACCCTGGTGGAGTTTGGATAGACCTTGACATTTGGGAGTTGTAGTTGCTGGGATTTATAGTTAACCTACAATGAAAGAGCATACTGAACGATGGAATTGAACCAAATGTGGCACACAGATCTCCCATGACCAGCAGAAAATACTGTGTTTGGTGGGCATTGACCTTGAGTTTTGGAGTTGTAGTTCACCTACGTCCAGAGAGCACTGTAGACTCAAACAATGATGGATCTGGACCAAACTTGGCATGGATACTCAATATGCCCAAATGTGAACACTGGTGGAGTTTGGGGGGGGGGGGGGAATAGACCTTGACATTTGGGAGTTGTAGTTGCTGGGATTTATAGTTCACCTACAATCAAAGAGTATTCTGAACCCGAGCGACAATAGAATTGGGCCAAACTTCCCACATGGAACCCTCATGTCCAACAGAAAATACTGTGTCTTCTGATGGTCTTTGGTGACCCCTCTCCTCACGACCCCCCCCCCAGGGGTCCTGACCCCCAGGTTGAGAAATGCTGCTATAGAGCAACTAGAGACAGAAGGAACCCAGTAAAGCAGGCATGGGCAAATTCGGCGCTCCAGGTGTTTGGGACTTCAACTCCCACAATTCCTAATAGCCTGTTATTGTAAACACAACTGTTAGCTGAATGAATATATTTACAATTCCAAATCATTACATTTGGTGTTGTACAGAACTTCTCTGTGTTATGTATATTTTTCTCTGAGACTGGCTAATTCATACATATAAATCAAGATTTCACATGGCAAGAATCAGTCCCTGAACATGCATTTGGGAATCAGCCCAAAGATTCCTATCTCTGTGGGTGGGCAAAACCTAGCGAAAGAAACGTGGGCAGCTGCTTTTCTATGAAGTACAGTCCAATTGTTCTGGACCAAACCTGTTTATTAATCTACCAGCGGCTTCTTCCTGCTTTATTCTGCAGGAGCCTCGGGGAAGCTGGAGGGCCATGGAAACATGGCAGCCAAAGGACTCCCAGCTGGGCCTCATTTGAGGTCAGGAAGGCAGATGCAAGCAGAGAGTCTGGAGAGTCGGGTCACACCATAATATCAAGTTTGCAGACAAGTTGTATCGTATTGCGGTCCAACATGGCCAGGACAAACAACTGAGACTTTTAACACCAATCTGATCTATTCCGCTGTGTCCAGTTATTGTTTTCAGATCTGATCAGGGGGATTAAAAGGCTTAATATTTCAGTTACAACTTTTTTTTTTTTGCACTTGCATCATCAAGTAGTGAGAAGTTCCAGGGAATGCCTGGCTGAGTGTTGGTTTCGTTGGGAGAGATTGATTGCTCAATTTAAATCTGGCATGGGCAAACTTTGTCCCTCCCTCCAGGTGTTTTGGACTTCAACTCCCACAATTCCTAACAGTCTACTGGCTGTTAGGAATTGTGGGAGTTGAAGTCCAAAACACCTGGAGGGAGGGACAAAGTTTGCCCATGCCTGGGTTGTCTCTTTCTTCAACAGCTATAACACAGAAGTGTTATATGAAGTTTAAAGGAGCTCCCAGTGGTGCAACAGTTTAAACCGCTGAGTTGCTGAACTGGCTGACTGAAAGGTTGATGGCTTGAATCCAGCTAACGGAGTGAACTCTTGCTGTTAGCCCCAGCTTCTGCCAAACTTGCAGATCGAAGACATGCAAATGTGAGTAGACCAATAGGTACCGCTTCTGCTGGAAGGTAACGGCGCTCCATGCAGTCATGCTGGCCACATGACCTTGGAGGTGTCTATGGACAACGCCGGCTCTTCGGCTTAGAAATGGAGATGAGCACCAACCCCAGAGTCGGACTCAACTAGTGTGCTGTCGCACGCTGGGCCTGTGCATAAGACTGTAAACAGGACATAAATTCCATGTGCCCAACGGGACGCCGGGGCTGCCTCAGATTAAAGGCCCTTGGATTTCCTTAAAACAGAGTCTTTAGATTGCTTAAAGGTTCAACAATGTTCTTTATTAATGAAAACAAACAGGTACTTTAAAGCTTTCTTAACAGTCTATTGGCTCTTTCAATCTTGTCCACAGGGAACAGGCACTATCTTCATGACTGGTATTTTAATTAATGGGGAAATCCTTAACTTCTAATCTGGGCAGTCTGTCTTTGCCTCTGTTGGCGTGGAGCCCCTACACCTGGTACCAACTGCTTCTGGCTTCCGCGAGAGACCCTTACCAAGCAGAGCTTTGTAGACTTCCAGGGAAAAAGGAGTTCAGGTTTCAGTGATGGCTGACTGAAGTCCCTCAGCAAAGGAGCTGTAAGGCTGTATGATCCTCAGCCAAGCTGTGGGCTGTATATCTCCCCGGCCAAGCCGTAGAAGACGAAGCTTTCTACAGGAGCTCTTGGTATTATGTCCTGCATGGAAAGCTTCTCTGTGTGGACTGAA